CTGTTCCCCCAACAGCAAGTGGCACCTTTCTCTCTCTCACTGTAGGGCCCACAGCCCCAAAGCCAGCAGCTCAGTCCTGCTTGCAAAACACAGACCAGGAGAAAGCCAAGCAGCTCCTCTTGATGAAAGGTGAGGAAAAGAAGCTTCCCTTGTGTGGTACTCATCGACCAGAATGCACTGATCCACCAGGAACAAGTAATGAAGCTCATTTAATTCTTCTTCTCTCTCAGGACCTTTCACAGCCTTTTCTGAGCAGTTGAGGGAAATGCCATCCTCTTAAAAATGGGCTGAGTTTGAGCTTTGCAGTAGCAGCTTTCCCTCCAGCTCCCCAGCCCCAAAAGCAGGCATGTGATGTTCAACATGCCAGGAGCACTCTGCCATGTCCTGGGAGGTCTGAGGCTCCTACACCAGTGGTGTCATCCCTGCTTCCCAGTGTGTCCCAGGCAAGAACCGTGATACTGATGTGCACCATGCATTTCTCCTGGTAGAAAGAGACCCTGCTTTGCCATGGAGAGGGACACAAGCAGTTGTGTCTGGACCTTGCTGTCCTCCTTGTCTGGGCAGAAGCACAGTAGCCTTTGTTCACCCAGCGTAGCTAGGAGAAAGGCAGTGAGCACACCACTTCAGCTGGGTCAGACACCTCCATACGTGGAGGCAGGTGCTCCAAACGGCCACAAACATTAAGAAAAACAGAGGAGGGAGCAAGAGAAGAAAGCTTGTGGCCAGCTGCAATTTCCTCAGGAAATTTGGCACCGTGACAACAAAGCTGTAGCCTTGCCTCCATCTCTGGAGCTGTAGCCCCCTCAGCTGGCGTGTAGGAACATGAGTCTCGCAACATGGAGCGAGCAGCCTCTTCACCATTCCTGGGCCCTCAGAGAACATGCCAACCTGGACCACTTCCCTAGCGTAGAGGGGGAAGGTCTGAGAGGGGAAAAAGAGCCTTCATATCTACTTTTCAGCATATCATTGCAGGTCACTTGGCACTGACTTCTGTTCCCTGTCTTGGGTCTCTCCCCTGTTGAGCAGGGCTTGTCGTCATGAGCCTCGTACTGCTCGGCTTCTGCGTATTCTGCTTCAGCAGCCCGACCTCCAAGTCCCAGCAAGCCCCTAAGAACCCCACTGTGGAGGCCTTTCTGTCCCACTTCAACCAGCTGCAGGACAGGTTTCCAGGGCAGAGTCCCCACCTGTGGCTTCGCGGGCGCAAGTTCCTGCAGAAGCACCTCAACGCGTCTCACCACACGCAGCCGGCCATCATCATCTTCACAGCCGCCCGCAAGGGTGAGCAGACCTTGCGGTGCCTTAGCACCCGCGTGGCTGACACCTACTCAGCTGCCCTGCACGCCAGCACGGTCCAGATCGATGGCACGGATAAATCCAGGCTCCAGAGTGACCAAGCCAAGCTGGAGGTGGACTCGGAGCTGAGCTCAGCTTTCCAGGCTGGGGGCCGTGCTGCGGTGATACACCGCTTTGAGTCGCTGCCGGCGGGGGCCACCCTTATCTTCTACAAATACTGCGACCATGAAAGTGCTGCTTTCAAGGACGTGGCTCTGCTGCTCACCGTGCTGCTGGAGGAGGAGACGCTGGAGACCCACATCAGCCTCCAGCAGGTGGAAGAGAGGGTCCGTGACTTCCTCTGGGCCAAATTCACCAACACCAGGACCCCCAGCTGCTACGACCACATGGACTCCGACAAGCTTAGTGGGCTGTGGAGCCGCATCTCCCACCTGGTCCTGCCGATCCACCCGGTGCAGACCATCGAGAAGGGAGACTGCCATGTCCACACCAAACCCTAGGAGCAAAGGCTGCCAGAGTCCTGTGAAAGGTTGAAAGATGGTCCTTGCTGACTTGGGTGCAGGTGAAGGCTCGACCAGTGCTATTTCTCTTCAGTTCATTTCCTGTACCTTCCTGGGAGGAGATGGACAGGTACAAGTTGATCTAGGCCATTTGGCCAGCTGAGTCCTGGAGGTGACAGATCACACACGTTCTTCTAGCAGACGGGAAGGGTGAATATTTTAGACTGTTAATTGTGCAGGAGAACATCACTGTGTGGGGAGACAGGAGGGAAAACAGGACTTTGCAGATAGTGTTTCTATCAGGAAATACCCCAGATAACACACACAACTATTAGGCCAGAAAGATACTTCAATTCAGTAGCTCTTTCATCTCTCTCTACCCCTCAGTTTGATAATGTCTGTACATCAGCCTCACAATGTGAGCATTTTATCTACAATGTTTCCCTCTTTGCAGAGAGCTGCTCAAACACAGGAAGGTCAAATTCTCCCTTCTTTTTGAAGGCATGCTTCAAAAAGAAAACTTCCAAAAGTTTGTTAGTCAAGGGTTTGACCACTCAGTCCTGGTAGAGCCCCACTTGCACAGACTGAATGATACCCAGCAAAGACCAGATCCTAAATATAGGATGTTCAAACAAACCTGCAACTAAGAAATCCCCTAAACATCAATTACAAGAAATTTCAGATTGTCAGCACTTAAACATTGCACTAAGGGGGAGGGTCCCATATGCCAGAGAATAAGGTCTGAAGACAGAGAGCAATGAAACAGAAACCACCTTGCTGCCCCTCTGATAGTGTGAAGCCTTAAGGAATTGCACAGGTAAAAGAAGGAGTGATACAGTTTAACTTAATGCTGCTTCTTTAAAGCAAAGTCCACTGCTGATCCCTTTGCCAGCACAAGGCCACGACCATCTCTTTGAGCTGATGTATCATCATAGATTGCTCTTCATCTGGGTCTCTGATCTGTCCATAGGACCCACCTATGGACACCACCACAGGTCTGCCCACCTCTCCCCACCTAACTTCTGTTGATGAATGTAGATGTTAACAGTGATACTTATTTCAAACTTCAGGTAGCACACCAGGTCCTTGTCCTCCAAAGGTACCTTTGCCTCCTTGCCAGGCAGCCACTGCTCTGGCATATGCTAAAGCAACCAGGAGCAGAGCTGGGATTAGCTGGTAAAGACAAAATCCCTGGTTTTAACACTAAAAATCCTCCACAAAGAAGGATGGTTTCTTACCGTGCCTCCTCTCCTGCATCCCAGGAAGAGAACTCCAAGTCCTGGAAACAGTGCAGTGCCACTGCATTTCTGCAGAAGCTCCGAGGCAGAGCAACTAGCTCAGGGAACACCTGGGAGGGCGGGTGCTGGTTAATTTATAGTGACCCAACCAGGTTGGGTTAATAACCCCAGGTGCCAGCCCCTTGTGCCTATGGTGCTGGGAGAAGGAGCAGCTGGAGCAGAGCATGCCTTATTTCCATATAAGCAGCACCGACTGGGGCCTTGCAGAGCCAGGCTCTGTGTCTGAACAAGACAGAAATCAAGAATATTATGGTGTTTTTACAAGCAGAGCATCTGAGTGCTCTTTATGCCAATGAGACCCTGGTGTTGGCTGGGTCTCCTGCCAACGGTGCCTTGCCAATTTGACCCATGATGGCTCAGCTGAGACGCAGCCATGTGCCCTAAAACCACAGCCTGTCCCTTCTTTTCTCCTGCCGCGTGCCTTGACCTGCCCCAGGAGACCTGTGGCCATTAACTTGGAGGAGGGGACAAAAATGAAGGAAGAGGAGAGGGTTATTTGTTCACATTCTGAGCGAAGAACAGACTTTTGGGTGGGTTGGGGACATGAAGACAAGACCACAGGGAGTTTAACCATGACAAATGGTTAAACATGAGAATTACATGAGAATTACTTGCTGGAGCCCATGCTGGAGCCCATGCAGGGCAGCCCAGGGCATGGTTTTGGACAAGATACGGCTTGCTTCCTCCTCTCCCTCCTTTTTATTGCTAGACACTACTTTGGTACCAGAAAACACTGTTTCTGCTCTGCACAGTTCGGTATAGGCGTCGATGTAAGAACCAGCAAAGTGTTCATCACGCTATGTCAATATCTTGAGAGAAAGTTGTATTTTAATGTTATTTCGCTCTGAGTTTTATGTACTGTGTTCGTAAAGCATAGCCATGGTATGGAAGGGCAACTTCACGCTGCTTGGGCACATCGGTGTAACTGCCATCCACCCATCCTGCTCTTAATACACAGATATTTTTATGACCTTTTAAAGACAAAATATCTGCTTGCTTCTGAAACAAGACTTTTATTTAAAAATAAATAACGCGACTGCAAAAGAAACCAGCAAAGTCGTTGAACCGAGACTGGAGTCTTATTGTATTCTGTTTTTTTTTTTTTTTTTCCAGCTGTTTTCAGTTAGTTAAGAAAAAGATATCATCATATTGGGTAAAGTTTTATTTAGGTCAGGGCTGTAGTTGTGCAAACAAACATCATATTGGACAAAGTTTTATTTAGGTCAGAGCCGTAGTTGTGCAAACAAAGTGAATGTTTGCTTTTTCTGGAAAAAAATCCAAACAACCTTTTTCTGAGTTGTCTGGGGCAAACATTTGCAGCTTTTTCAACTAAGGCAAAACTAAAAACAAACACCCAAACAGCTGCTGAGTTCAACCCAGACAGAAAGATATTGAGGTTTGCATAATACTTAATAATTAAAGGGAAATCTGCTGATAACTGAAATATTTTAGAAATATAGAAAGCAAATATTTCTCATTTCAACACCCTTGATCAAATCAGTTCCACCCAACGTCACACCACCTCAGCACACACAAATTTTTACATTTGTGGTGAATTCTTTTGCCCAGCTCTGGCCTAAACAGAGAGAGGGCTGAAACAGCAGGAGTTACCCTGTTATTCTGGATTTTCTTCAGTCCCTGGCTACCTAAACACTCATAACATTGGCATCTATTTTCAAATAGATGTTCCTGTGATCGATTGCCAGAAGTAAACATCACTCATCTCCTGTTGTCTGATGCAAGAGGTCAAGGTTTGGTCCTAGCCCAAAGATTCAGATGAAAATCCGCTGTCACCAGCTGCGGAGATTGCTGGATGCCAAAACCAGTCCATTTTTTTTAGTCTTGCACATGAATTCAAAAGTGAGGCCAGAGGGAGAAGCTGAATGAGCTGCAAGAGCGTCACCAGGTGGAAAGGTGCACCAGTAGTTTTCCCCTAGATGATGTGCTCACCATGATGTGTGTTGGTAAATAGCATCGTCTTCCTCGTACCTGCTTGGAAAACCAGGTTGAACCGAGAGCAGAAATGTTGCCTGCTGTTGAAGTGAGGCAGGAAAACCAGGGCAGGTAAGTCCAGAGGCTGCTCAGCAGTGACTGCACCTCTCCATAAACTTTGGGGCTAAATCTGCAGCCCGTTCAGAGATCTTTAATATGAACCAAGCAAGAACCTCCTGCGAGTCCCTGAAATGGCTGAGCAGTGCTCCCCTGAAAGGCAGAGGTGCCGACACAGAGGCACGAGGCTGACCTTCTCACCCACTGTGCCAAGTTGCAGCATTTCATAGAATCATAGAACGGTTTGGGTTGGAAGGGACCTTCAAGATAATCTAGTTCCAACCCCCTGCCATGGGCAGGGACACCTTCCACTAGATCAGGTTGCTTAAAACCTCATCCAACCTGGCCTTGAACACCATCCCTTTCTTCCTGCATCCCAGTGGGGCTGGTCCTGAGGTCACTTCAGGGCAGGGCACCAGGTGGTGGGACCCCCAGCAAGGTCCTCCAGTTGGTTTCTCCCAGGCAGGGATTCTGCAATCCCTTCTTCTTCCCAGACTGTGAGTTAATTCAGAAATGCTGTGCGTGCTTCCCTGGAGCAGGGTGCTGGCATGGGTGCAGCACCCGCAGATGGAGGCTGCTGGGTGACGCAAGGGACGTGGGGCACAGCCGAGAGCAAATGCACCCGCGGCAGCTCCGGAGGAACTAAATCTCCCCCTTTCCACCAGCTCTCCAATGGCTGCGGCAGATCAGCACAAGACCAGGATGGAGAAGGACACGGTCCAGCTCTGCACCGTCTGAAGTAAATGAATTTATTCCTCCTGGACATCACATCCACCTGTGCTAAGGGCAGCTCTTCCCTTCCCCTGTCCCCTCCGTGCACTTAGCTCATAATCTCTCCCGGAGCATCTCTTCCTGCGCACACACACATTGCCCAAGCGTGGCAAAGGCCATGGGTTTGGCTGGAGCTTATCACTTATCAGTAAGTTATAAGCTTATAAGGCTTGTGAGCTGTTACATCAATGCTAAAACTAAATTGTTCTTCAATTCCTCATCTACAAAATAAATAAATTACTCTTGTTCTATTAAACGACACATACCCCTCTCCAACTAACATTCCCTTTATTTTTGTAGTCCTGCTCTCTGCAGCAGTAGTTCTGCAGGCAAGGATGTGCTGCCACAAGGCCCCTAAAAATTACCTTGAAAATCACCTGGCAGCTCAGCTGAGGGGCGAAACCAGTTCTGGAAGGTCAGTCTGGGCTGTTCTGCCTCAAAACCAGCACTGATTACACGTGTGAGCGTGCCGCTGCCTTGCAAGCCGGCATAAACTCGTCATCCCCAGCGTTTCAAGGTGAGTGGTCCAGCCGGCATCACCCAGGCTTGGCATGCCCCCCTGCTCTGCTGCAGCATCCCTGTCCCTGCGACAAGCACATTGTGCCACGTCTCTTTTTACCCCTTTGCACCAGCACGGGCTAAAGCTGGAAGAAGGCAGGACACAAAGAGACAGGTAGTGAGCCCAGCTGAGCCACGTTTTCCCTCTTGAGCTTTAACCTCCCGGAGCTCATCCCCAGCTTCACCCTCCCGCAGCCCCATGCATGGGCAGGCTCTGCTGCCGCAGGGCTGGTCCCTCGGAGGTCACTTTTAGGCTTACAAAACCTCTGTTATAAGAGAGATTTTCAGATATTGGGAGCTTAAGACTTTTTTTATTCCCCTCCT